CACTGCAACCTCCGCCTCCTGGGTTCAAGCTATTTTCCTACGTCAGCCTCCCACATAGCTGGGATTACAGGCGCCTGCCACCACGCTCGGCTAATTTTTTGTATTTTTAATGGAGACAGGATTTCACCATGTTGGTTAGGCTGGTCTCAAACTCCTGACCTCAGGTGATCCGCCCGCCTTGGCCTCCCAAACTGCTGGGATTACAGGCGTGAGCCACTGTGCCTGGCCCAAAAAAATAGTTTCTTGGGATGAAAGTGAACACTATGGAAATGACAATAAAGGATTGAGAATATTCCGTAAACTTAGTTGCAAAGCAGCATCAGGGTTTGAGAGGACTGACTCCAATTTTGAAAGAAGTTCTACTGTGGGTAAGATGCTATCAAACAGCACCACATCCTGCAGAGAAATCTTTCATGGAAGGAAGAGTCAGTTGATGCAGCAAACTTCATTGTTGTCCTAAGAAATTGCCACAGCCACCCCAGCTCATCAGTGTCACCCTGATCAGTCAGCAGCCGTTAGCCATTTACATTGAGGCAAGACCCTCCACCAGCAAAACACTTGCAACTCGCCAAAGGCCCCAATGATTGTTAGCATTTCTGAGCAATAAAACATTTTAAAATTAAGGTACATACATTGTTTTTTAGACGTAATGGTGTTATGCACTTAATAGGCCACAGTATAAGGTAAACCTAAGTTTTGTCTGGGCAGAGTGGCTCACACCTGTAATCCCAGCACTTTGGGAGGTCAGGGCGAGTGGACATTTGAGCCCAGCAGTTCAAGAGCAGCCTGAGCAACATGGCAAAACTCATCTTTACAACGATTACAAAAATTACCTGGGCATGGTGGCGCATGCCTGTCGTCCCAGCTACTGGGAAGGCTGAGGTGGGCAACGGACATCAGTTGAGCCCCAAGAGGTCAGTGCTGCAGTGAGCCATGATTGCGCCACTGCAGTCCATTCTGGGGGACAGAGCAAAATCCTGTCCCAAAACAAAAACATACCACCCCTAAGGGTTTTTTTTTTTTTTGAGATGGAGTCTCACTCTGTCACTCAAACTAGAGTGCAGTGTGTGTCTCAGCTCACTGCAACTCCCAACCTCCTGGGTTCAAGCGAATCCCTGCCTCAGCCTCCCAGGTAGGCTGGGATTACAGTGCGCCCCGCCACACGCCCAGCTAATTTTTGTACCTTTTAGTAGAAGTGGGGTTTCACTGTTTGGCCAGGATGGTCTTGACACTTCTGCCCTCAGGTCATCCACCTGCCTTGGCCTCCCAAAGTGCTGGGATTACACAGGGTGAGCCACCACAAAATCATGTAACTTTTTTTTTTTTTTTTTTTTTTTTTGGAGACCGGAGTCTCGGTCTGTCGCCCAAGGCTGGAGTCCAGTGGTGCGACTCTCGGCTCACTGCCAAGCTCCGCCTCCCGGGTTCATGCCATTCCTCCTGCCCAGCCTCCTGAGTAGCTGGGACTACAGGCGCCCCGCCACCGCGCCCGGCTAATATTTTTGTATTTTTTTAGGTAGAGAATGGGGTTTCACCGTGGTCTTGATCTCCTGACCTTGTGATCCGCCCACATCGGCCTCCCAAAGTGCTGGGATTACAGGCGTGAGCCACCGTGCCCAGCCAAATCACGTAACTTTTATATGTACTGAGAAAACAAGCGTGAGCCAAAAATCACGTAACTTTTATATGCACTAAAAACCAAAATATTTGTGTGATTTGCTTTATTGTGATATTTGTCTGTTGAGGTGGTACAAAACCGAACTTGCAGTATCTCCAAGATATGCTTGTATTCCAGAACCATTTGTTGAAAAGACTATTCTTTTTCTATTGAATCATCTTTGTACCTTTTTCCATAACTTAATGAACTTATCTGTGTGGGTCTATTTCTGGATTAAGTATTCTTTTTTTCTATCTCGGGTTCAATTTGCTAATATTTTGTTGAGCATTTTTGTGTCTACGCTCAGTTATTGGTCTGTAGTTCCTTTGTATGGTCTTTGGTTATAGTATCAGGGTGATGCTGGCCTCAGAGTAGGTTGGGTGCTCTCCCTCTTCAGTGTTTTGAAAGATATCGTGTAGAATCAGCAGCATTTATTCCTTAAATGTTTAGTAAATTCCCCGGGGAAGCCTGTCCTCACTGATGGAAAACTGCCAGTGTAGAGAAGTCGGCTCTCTGAGGCTTCTACAGGGACTAAGGCAGGGAGGAAAGGACACCAGGAAACTGTAGCCTAAGGTCCAGAGGGTTCTGGCCCAGACAGAGCAGCAGGGAGGCCCCGGGAGCTCCTTCCCGATGTGGGCTGTGGTCTCTGCAGGTGCTGTCCCTGGACACCAACATCACAAACCAGGTGAATAAGCTGAACCGAGACCTGCTTCGCCTGGTGGATGTCGGCGAGTTCTCCGAGGAGGCCCAGTTCCGAGACCCCTGCCGGTCCTACGTGCTTCCTGAGGTCATCTGCCGCAGCTGTAACTTCTGCCGCGACCTGGACCTGTGTAAAGACTCTTCCTTCTCAGAGGTGCGGCTGAGCCCCAGTGGGGTTTTCACTGTAGAGCAGAACGTCTGAGGGCACTGCAGTGTCTTGGGGGCTTCTGCAGCCCCAGCTCTGTAGGTCACACCTGCTGCCGCTCTGACTCACACGGATTGGCAACAGGCCCCTTCCCAGGCCTCCCCATACCACGTTCGGAATGTTGTCCTAGGAAGGGCTCAAGTGCAGGTGGGAGGCCGGAGCGCACGCAGCTGCACTCAGGAGACTCGCCCCTCAGCAGGCGCTTCTTACAGCCCCTTCCTCTCCTGAGATCCTGTGCAGGGCACTGTGGTCTGGAGGCTGGGCCAGTGACCTCTTGCACTCTTGCTCTGCCTAGGATGGGGCGGTCCTGCCTCAGTGGCTCTGCTCCAATTGTCAGGCGCCCTACGACTCCTCTGTCATCGAGATGACGCTGGTGGAAGTGCTGCAGAAGAAGCTGATGGCCTTCACTCTGCAGGACCTGGTGAGCAGTGCCTGCCGCCCACCCGTGTGCCCTGGAGTCCGCAGAGGGGTTTCTGTGCACTCCTGGGAGCCGGGGTGTGTGCAGGTCCTGAGGCACGCCCTGGTGTCCTCCAAAGGGCCTGCCCTGCAGACCAGTCCATGCCTGAGCCCGACAGACTATTCTCCAAAGGGCCTGCCCTGCAGACCAGTCCATGCCTGAGCCCAATGGACTATTCTGTCTACACTGGTTGAGCACCTGCCTTGGGTCAAGAGCTGGCCTTGTGGGTGCTTTGTTCTAGCGGAAGGAGGCAGACCTTCCCAAGTGTGAAGAGAAGGAAAGGAGGAAGAGGGAGTTGCACAGCTCGGCCACAGGAGGGCCTTGCTGAGGGGCATCTGAGCAGAGGCTGGGGGACGCACCAAGCTGCCGTGTGGTGGCACATGGCGTCCAGGCCTGCAGGATGGAGGGAGTGAGCAGGGCCTGGAGGGGGCCTCAGGACTGGGCATCTGGGATGGGACACCCACAGTGAGGGTGGGCGTAGGGAAGGCGCTGGCAGGGTGGGATGAGGTCGTGCATTTTACTCATAACTGAGGGGCTGGCTGCGCACAGCACGGGCTCAAGGCTTACTGATGGGCCCACGAATGTGTCTCGCGAGCCTGTGAAGAAGCAGCAGGCAGGTCTGGCCGGGGCGGGAGGGCCAGTTCCCATCGGGGTTGCTCCTTTTCAGATCTGCCTGAAGTGCCGAGGGGTGAAGGAGACCAGCATGCCTGTGTATTGCAGCTGCGCAGGGGACTTCGCCCTCACCATCCACACCCAGGTGGGCTTTCCTTCATCTGCCTCGGTTCAGCCTGGCCTCCTTGGCCTCCTCTCTGAGTGGACTGGCGTCTCACTGTGCCTGTTTATTCCTGCAGGTCTTCATGGAACAGATCGGAATCTTCCGGAACATTGCCCAGCACTACGGCATGTCGTACCTCCTGGAAACCCTGGAGTGGCTGCTGCAGAAGAACCCACAGCGGGGCCGTTAGCCAGCCCCGGGCCCTGGGCGCCTCTGCGTCCGTGCCAGGACTCCTGATGCCAAGGCCACATCCCCGTGCTTTCAGTGACCAGACTACTGACCACCCTGACTGTCCAAACTTGTGACCCCACGCCAGGGAACGGGGAGGAAACCAAAGAAAACCATTTTCAGGGAGCTCAGACGTCACAGGAGGGAGTGGGAGCAGGATGTGGCCCTGGCCTCGCCAGAGCACCTGCAGAAGCAAGCCATGAGCGAGGCTGCGGGTGCCCTGGCCACTGTTTCTTATGCAGTGAATGCTTTTCCAGGCCTCTGTTGCTTCCTGCACCACACCTGGTGGGGTGGAAGAGTCCTGTAGGTGCCCCCAGTTCTTTGTCCTGCCTCCCAGAGGGAGGAAAAGCCCCTGGGGGCTTCTGGCTCCCTGAGATTGGGCTCTGAGACGAGATGGGTTCCCAAGGCCCTGGTGGGGCTGGAGTCTCACCTGTTTGCATGGAGAAATGGGCTGGCCCCACAGCCTCACAGGAGCAGTTTGTGGGCTGGTTTCCCCGGGAATCCGGACCCTAACCTGTGAGAATCTGGATTTTGACTTGTTGAGCCCTGCTCATTTGGAGCCAGGTCTAGAGGGAACCCCCCATCAGCCTCAGGAAAACAAGACTTCTGTGCACCTCACTTCGGCTCACCACAGCCCTTGTCCTTCACCTCCACACAGGACCGGCTGGAAGCAGAAAGAAGAAAGGCCAATTTCACAGGGCACCAAACAAGTATAAAATGTAAATCAGGAATTCAGACACCCCAGGCGAGAGCCTCACAGGAGGGAGGGGCCCCACAGGCTCCCCAGGAGGCTCACATCTTTGGCCCAGAGCCAGCCTTAGTTTGTCCCTGTCATCTACTGTCCGAGGCCATCGCTGCTACACTTTGTTTTTATTTGCATTTCATACTGAAATTTCTCTAGGTTGTCACTGTGTGTTTGTGCAGGGCGCCTCAGATGAGGGGACTGGGTACCACTGGGTATGTGTTTGGCCCTTAGACGCTGCTCGGGCCGCCTGCCTGGAGAAACCTGATGCCTGCTCAGATGGAGGAGTGCTGAGGCCTCCAGAGTGGAGATCAAATCAAATTAGGGCAAGCAGGGGAGGAGGGAGGCTGGCTGACTGGGCTTCATTCCTGGAAGCAAATCTGGAAAACCTTCAGGGGAGTGAGGAGTGAGGGGGGCCGGGACAGCCAGCCGTCCCTCAGGAAGACCACCTAGCAAGACCAGGGGTCGCCCGGTGCAGCCACGGGTGCCGGCCAGCCTGGGTTTACTCTGAGGCAGCTGGGGCTGGCGGCATTTGAGCAGTGGTGGAGGGGTCAGAAATGGGAAGCTCTGGCCCTGGTTCCCAAGCAGCAGCTCAACCAGAAGAGCCAGTTTCTCCAAAAATGAGCTGGATATTTGTGAGCCACACAGCATGTGCAGGCTGTGGGGTGACCTGAGGCCGGTGCCCCAGGCTGGGAGGCCACAGTCAAGGGAAATGGGGCCCGTGAGAAGACGTATTCTCGCCACCTGAACACAGTGCTGGGGTGAGGACTCCAAACTCAGGCTTTGAGGTCCGACCAGGGCCGTCTTCCCCGCCCTTCTCTGCCCTTTGACCTTTGGGAGTAGTGTTGCTCTCCTGAGACTGGGTTTCCCTTCAGAGGCAGGATGCCATCCGCCACTGGCACAGGCGACTTCATGATGCTCAGTTCTGGGCTCCTCTCCCCACGTGGTGGGCACCAGTCTAGCCACTGCAGCATCTAAGGATGCAGTAACCAGATTACCCACAAGCCCTGATCCAGTTAGTGCTGCTCCCAGGCTGGTGTCCGTCCACCCCGGCCTGGCCTGACTTCCCATTGGCATTCCTGCCCCCACCCGTGGAGCAGGAATGAACACTGGCCTGAGCGCTGCTGTAGTCTGAGCTTTCGTTTTCCTTGTGTGCAGCTGTCCCTGCCTCCCTCCCATTTCTCTCTTCCTGAGTCATGCTGTCCTCCCACATTTTGAGATGAGCCAGCTTTGGTTTGGAGTCTGGGGTGGCCCTGTCAGAAGTAAGTGCACTGAGGAAGTGGCCTGGGTCCCGGTGTGCTCCCAGCCTGGGCAGACCTGACCGTGGCCCGGCTGGCTGTGGGGACCGAGGGTCATGGGGCGGGCAGACGTGCCCTGCACACTCCCAGGCTGCTTAGAGGGGAGATGACTCATATAAAGGTCACTGCAGCCCAGCTCCAGGCCAGCAGGGCCTGGCCTCCCATATTCATAGGGTCGTGATGCTTCTCCGCAAGGAATGAGGCCAGAAGGTTCTGCTCACAGGTTTATTGGACTGAGTATGTTGTGACTTGTAAGGGAAGAGTCTGGGCAGATTCGAGGTTACACCGGTGGGGTGGGGTGGGGTGAGGGTTCCCAGGGCCCAAGACCAGGAGCAGAGCCCCTCAGAGCTTAGCTGGCTTGGGTTCCAGGTGGCTGTGAGGTGATGGGAAGTGAGCAGCCCTGTAGGGGCCAGCTGGGGAGGAGGTGTCGGGCTGGTATGCCAGGGTGGGGCAAAGCCTGGGGCCAGAGCGTGCCCCCAGCCCTTGCACAGGGACCCTATGGTGCCCAGTTTTCGTGGAGATGCCCTGCTACTGAGGTACCCATGTCTACTGTGCAGGGTCCCTAGCCAGGGACTGTCTCTGGCCCCACCAGGCCGGGTCTGCAGTCCAGTGTGACGGGAAGGAGCTCAGAGTTGGGCCAAACCTTTGGGGTCTGTGGGTGTGGAGGCTTGTGGGGCAGGCTCGGAGGCAGGAGTGATCTGCTCAGATGGGGCAGAGATGGGGCAAGGCCGCAGGGGTGGGAAGGCTGGGCCACACTCTGCCCCTTGTTGGCCCTCCTGGCCTGATGGAGGGCTGGGGTGCTGGTCCTCGGAGCAGTGGCCGGGTTGGGGTGGGGCCTGGCCCAAAACACGGGCAAGGGTCACAGGCCAGCTACCTGAGGGGCGGCTCGGCGTACACACCTTGTCAAATTTCTTATGGCTGTAGACCTTGTTTTTGTTCATGAATGTTAGCAAGATCCAGTCGCACAGGAAGGAGCCCTGGGGCCAGCAGAGACCGGCGTGTAAGGGCCCGGTGGACACCCCGTACCCGCCGAGACCCCAGAGAGGGCTTCTTACCACCCCGACGGAAGTTAGAGCTGTGGCCAGATTAATAATGGTGGGAATCAGGCTGAATTTCCCGGCCTGGGGAGAACGAGGGTTGTGGTCAGATGTCTGATGCCTGATGGAGCTGGAGGGAGGGGTGGGGCCTGAGGAGCTGAGATGACACAGGCTAGCAGGGCTGGCCACAGCCCCAGCAGGTGCAGTCACCTGTCCATGCACGATGACGTCAATGCGGATCCCGTAGGCCTTGATGAGCGTGCGGGTGGTGGTACCATTGATCTTGTAGTACTTGGCAAACCTGGAATGGGAAGGCCTGGAAGCCAGTGCCCACTTGTCCTCTGTGCTCCAGGGCTGCCCCATGGGCACTGGGCCTCTCGAGACCCCACTGTGGCTATGCCAGGGTGGACAGTAGTGTCCCAAGTACAGTACCTGAAGTTGTAGCCTGACGAGGCAGGCACGTGCTTGGGGTCAAGCCTCCGGAAGGAGTACTTGGGGTTACACTCCGACGCGGGCAGGTCCAGGTCACAGTCCCAGTTGATAATGACCCCGATGACACCACCCTGCCAAGAAGGAGCCAGGGAAGGGGGTCAGGAGGGCACACAAGAGGCCCCTCAAGAGCCGGGGTCAGTCCCAGGCTGCGTGTGAGGTGTGCACTGAGGGGCCCAGGGGCGGCTCAGGGGTAGCGGTGGGTGTCCAGTGTCTGAGGCACAAGGGGTGCCAGCAGCCAGCCCTGTGGCCAGTGTCAATAATTCAGCAAGCACCACACAGGACAGGTTGTGCTGATCACATTTCTTTCCTCTGCCTGAGCTGGGCCAGCTGGTCAGGAGGGAGGAGGGACTGGTCCCCTGTACCCCAGGCCCTCCCTGTGCAGGTGGGAGCCCACCCTGGCCCCACCCCGCCTGCGCTTGCCCTGCCTTGTATGCGAGCTCCGCGAAGCTCTCCCCAGCCTTTTCGACAATAAAGCCCAGCTTGAAGATGGGGCAGTAGAGGTCGGAGGCCTCGTGGAACGTGCAGCGCTTCAGGTACCCGTCTGTGCGGTCCGCGATGTTGCCCCTGAGGAGGAGGCAGGAGGCGAGGCCTGCACCCCAAATATGCCATTCCCAGGAGGTAGCCCCCATGCTGGGCCGTCGCCACACCCCGCTCTTACTTGGAGAAGTGGAATTTGGGGTAGTGGATGCTGTTCTTGATGAGGATGGTGAAATTTGGGGCCATGGTACCCAGAAATTGGCTGAGGAGGCACAGACGGGTTGTTAGTGCCTCCTCCCGCAAAGCCCCCTCCTGGCATTGGCCTCCACCCCTCCCCAGCTCTTGTCACTCCTGCCCCGCCCGTTTGGCCTCTGGTCAGAGAAAAAGGATCAGAGTGGAGGCTCAGGGCCCCAGGCCAGGGCGCGGGTGCACCTGACGGAGGCCCCATCTTCCACCGGGCACCAGCCGAACACCTCGCAGGTCTTGGAGGGCCCCTGGTAATAGGGCACACAGCGCCCGGTCCGCAGGCCTGTGGGGCAGAGGTCACTGAGGCAGTAGTGAGGACGCAGCCCTGCCCCACCCGCCCAGCCCCAGCTGGTGCACACTGACCGTTTCCCAGCATGTCCAGCTCCCCAGTCACACAGTCGGCGTCGGAGAGGCAGGTGGCATTGTGGACCTTTATGCTCTAGGGTGGAGGCGGCCCAGTCAGGGACCCCACAAGGGACAGCTGGCCCGCCTAGCTGAGGCAGGGTCCCCCAGCGCTGCGGGATCCCCTCACCTCGGGGCAGGTTCCCTGGGTCTGGGAGTGGGTGGCCTCGACCCTGGTGATGATGCTGAACACGCTGCCCCCCTGGGCTCAGAAAGAGGGGGAGGTCGGCCAGGCGGCAGCTGCTGCCCCCTCGGCCCACTAGGGTGGGGTGCACGGCGGGGCGGGGGGCAGGGGGCGGCCCGCACCTCCGGGGGCTTCACATACTCCTCCACGTCCCACACTTTGTGCTCGGACGTGGTGATCCCCTTGACCTTGGTGATGATGGAGCTCTCCGGGCCCGTCTCGCTCTCCTGGTAGCTTTTCTGCACGATGAATACGTACCTGCGGGCAGGGGCGGCACCGGCTCCGGAGGCGACCCCGGGAAGGCTGAGTTCGCCCGCAG